GCAGTTTATGGAGGAGGAAGTTCACAACAACCCAGACCATGATCAGGTGGATAAATCCGGGACAAAAATATTTAAATAATATATATATATGTCAGAAAAAGTTTCCTTCTATCTTATTTGCTGTTACTGAAAGTTACTTTTTCCTTCACAGATGTTTACATTTTGTTATTTGTTTGGATTTAGGATGAAGAACTGAAAGACGTCAGTGTTGAGAATAAAGAGAAAGAAGAAGAGACGTTGGTGAGTGGAGCTCAGCAGCCTATGGAGGAGGAGGAGATAATTGTGAGAAGTAAACAAGAGGAATCTTCTCTACATACGGACACAAGTAAGTCATAAACACTAAATGCAGAAACCTATTCGAAAGGTCCATCTCCATTCCTCAATATAACGTCATGTGACCAACAAATGAGGAGGCGATACTGTACACCATATGAAGGTCCATCTCCATTCCTCAATATAGCGTCATGTCCCCAACAAATGAGGAGGAGATACTGTACACCATATGAAGGTCCATCTCCATTCCTCAATATAACGTCATGTGACCAACAAATGAGGAGGAGATACTGTACACCATATGAAGGTCCATCTCCATTCCTCAATATAACATCATGTCCCCAAACCTTTCTTCAAGCAAGCTTCTTCAGATGCTGTAGAGCCAATGAGCCCATTTTACAGCTTTCCAGATAGGCTGATTCTTGGCCTAGTCTTGGTGGCCATAACTGGCCCCTGCTGTGATAAGAAGCACGGCAGCCCTTTAACATGTCTTTAAGCACTGAACTCATTGTGCTCTTCTAGACAACCCTTGGCCTTGATTACAATGTGGTTGTTGGATGCAAAGTGCTGTACAGGTGGAGCCTGTGTCTGAAGACCTCCTAAGAAGTATGGCAACCGGAGGGATGAAGACTATTGGGATGGGGCAGGCTGAATCCAAGCCTGTGTCTCTAACCTGATTGGTGGGCTCCGTACCACCACTGTGGTGAGTTCAAGCCTTGCTCTTATGGGAGCCTTGGTTTGTTTGTCCAAACTGGTGACCTCAGGAGCTCCCGCTGCCGAACGCTGCACTGGATTCTTTCAGATATGGCACCACCTGGAAGACTCTTGGTGAAAGGCTGGCAGCAAGAGGGGAGCTCTGTGCCGGACATTATTCTTGGTTTCTGTTCTGCTGGTTTCTGAATGTGGTGAGGTTCTATGACTACTGGCCCGCCCCTTTCATGTGCAGTCTTCAGAGTACACCTTTTCCCACCATCTCCTCAGCACACCACCACCTCTGATCCTTCGGGACAGTACTTGTTCTACCCAGTTGCCTCTAGTGATGAGTCAGAGATTGCATTACCCCGCAGTTTCCGGTTAGCCCTGGTGGGACTCCATCACTTGTATGTCTTACCAAGATCTTAACCGTCCCTGTAGATGACATTCCAATGTAGACCAGGTAGATAAGACATTAGAAGCCACGGCCTAATTCTCCATTGCTGGTCCAGCACTGCAGCCAACAGAAGAAGGCTAAGCCTTAGTCTGGCACTTCCTCCATCTAGAAGGCCAAGAAGAGGTCCTTTCTCCCAGACCGTCATGCCGAAAAGTCAATCCCCGGAATTCTGCCCTAATTCCTGGACCTCTATATCCTCTAAGCCCATGAAGGAGTCTTCCTCACAATGAGGGATTGGCTTTAGGTCCAGAATGTGGCATCCAGGGGCTACCAGCTAGAATGTTTAACTCTGCTCCCGCCCTGCTACATCTGTCCAATTTGCCAACATTGCCGTGAAAAATGCGGGACCTCTACGCTGCTGTTCCACAACTCCTTCCTCAAGAGGTCATAGCCAATGTTTCAGAGAAGGAATTTTTACTCCAAACCTATTAACCGTTCCCAAAGCAGAAGGGTTGTTTGTTCCATTCTAGATCTTAATCTGAATTCTCAACGCATTCCTTCGTGGAATCCCAGGTTGGTCATTGCTCCATCCGGGAGACTTTCTGGCCTCCTCAGACATCAAACACACTTGTGTGTCTCCATCTTTCCAGCTCATCATCCCTAACATTACCAATGTGTTGCCAATCCCTTTGGTCTGGCCACTGCACCTAGAGTTTTCACCAAATCACCAGCCCCCTTGTCTTGATTTGCTCTCAGGTCACCCCTGGAATCATCTCATCGCTGCCTGGTCTTGTGTTCACATGTTCTACCTGGTGGATGCCCAAGCTTCCTTTTGATGCCACCTTCCTGTCTTGATTTGCTCTCTGGGCATCCCCATAGTGGGATATCGGGAGGACCTTCTTCTCCAGGTACAGTCTTTCCCCCAATGACCTTCAGACTCTCCAGACCCTGCAGGAGATTGGATTCTACAGGAAATCCACCAGGAAGTCATCTGGAATCATCTCATCGCCGCCTGGTCTTCTGTCCACGTGTTCTACCTGGTGGATGCCCAGGCTTCCTTTGATGCCACCTTCTTGTCTTGATTTTCTCTCTGGGGCATCCCCATAGAGGGATATCTGGAGGACTTTCTTCTCCAGGAACAGTCTGCCCCTAAATGTCCTTCAGACTCTCCAGACCCTACAGGGGTTTGGTTGGATTCTAAAGGAAATCCTCCATGAAGTAATCTGGAATCATCTCATCATGTTCACATGTTCTACCTGGTGGATGGACCTGAGTTCTTTGATACCACCTTCTTGTCTTGATTTACTCTCAGGAGCATGCACATAGTGGGATATCTGGAGGACCTTTCTTCTCCAGGAACAATCTGTCCCTCAATGTCCTTCAGACCCTGCAAGAGATTGGGTGTATTCTAAAGGAAATCCTCCAGAAAGTCATCTGGAATCATCTCATCGCCGCCTGGTCTTCTGTTAACATGTTCTAGTTATTGGATGCTCAGGCCTCCTTTGATGCCACCTTCTTGTCTTAATTCACTCTCAGGGGCATCCCCGTAGTGGGATATCTGGAGGACCTTCTTCTCCGGGAACAGTCTGTCTGGAATCATCTCATCGTCACCTTGTCTTCTGTTCACATGTTCTTTCTGGTGGCTGTTGAGGCCTCCTTTTGATGCCACCTTTGGTCGTAGGGTTCTTCAGGTGGCTCCATGAGCCCCATCTGTTAGCCTGTTGTTCACGTGGACCTGTTGATGTTCGTTTTTAACCCTCCTCTTAGTTGGATTTCTTTTGGACATCCCTATGTAGCTGAACACTCCTGTGTCCCTTCTTTCACGATGAGGATTTTGATCATACCGGTAAAATAATTTACTTTTGGTCTATCCACTGCACCTCGGGTTTTCACCAAAGGACCAGCCACCTTCTTGTCTTGATTTGCTCTCAGGGCATCCCCATAGAGGGATGTCTGGAGGACCTTCTTCTCCAGGAACAATCTGTCCATTAATCACCAGACTCTCCAGGAGTTTGGTTGGATTCTACAGGAATTCATCTGGAATCATCTCATCGCCGCCTGGTCTTGTGTTCACATGTTCTACCTGATGGATGCTCAGGCCTCCTTTGATGCCACCTTCTTGTCTTGATTTGCTCTCAGGTCATCCCCATAGTGGAAATCTGGAGGACCTTCTTCTCCATGAACAATCTGTCCCCCAATGACCTTCAGGCTCTCCAGACCCTACAAGGGTTTGGTTGGATTCTAAAGGAAATCCTCCAGGAAGTCATCTGGAATCATCTCATCATGTTCACATGTTCTACCTGGTGGATGATCAGGCCTCCTTTGATGCCACCTTCTTGTCTTGATTTACTCTCAGGGGCATCCACATAGTGGTATATCTGGAGGACCTTTCTTCTCCAGGAACAATCTGTCCCTGAATGTCCTTCAGACCCTGCAAGAGATTGGGTGGATTCTAAAGGGAATCATCTCATCGCCGCCTGGTCTTCTGTCCACATGTTCTACCTGGTGGATGCCCAGGCCTCCTTTTGATGCCACTTTCTGTCTTGATTTGCTCTCAGGGGCATCCCCGTAGTGGGATATCTGGAGGACCTTCTTCTCCATGAACAGTCTGTCCCTCAATGTCCTTCAGACTCTCCAGACCCTACAGGAGTTTGGTTGGATTCTAAAGGAAATCCTCCAGGAAGTCATCTGGAATCATCTCATCATCTTCATATGTTCTACCTGGTGGATGTTGAGGCCTCCTTTGATGCCACCTTCGGTGGTAGGGTTCTTCCGTTGGCTCCATAAGCCCCATCTGTTAGCCCGTTGTTCACTTGGACCTGTTTGATGTTCCTTTTCTACCCTCCTCATAGTTGGACTTCTTTTGGACATCCCGGTGTACCTGAACACTCCTGTGTCCCTTCATTCACGATGAGGATTTCGATCTTACCAGTAAAATAATTTTCATGGCGTACAATAAGGGACACGGGTCCCATCTCTATGTCCTCATTATCTACTCCCTACTATTGCTTGCTCACAGAACTGTGGGAGGGGCTAAACTGGGCTTGCTCTCTCTCTCTCTCTCTCCCTCCCCCCTCTCTAAACATTTTTATTTATTTAAAATTTGTTTTTTTCAGCAGATGGACTCCATGTCTGGAAGGTCTCAGAAGGACGTCTTATGTCATCTCCAGAAGATAAGGACCTCACGCAACATTCTCCAGAAGTGAATCCCAGTACTCATAATAGACATCACAGACATTCCCATTCAGAGACATCGATGGATCCCTCTAATCCTGAGGAATCTTCTGACCAATCACAGACTGTTACTCCAGATACACATCTGAGATCTGAGAGTGCGGAAAAATCAACAGATCCACCTAATCCCGATGATTCTCCTTTAACCCATGAAGGAGAAAACGCAGGAGAGGGTTCCTTGTCATGTTCAGTGTGCGGGAAATCTTTTACAGATAATAAAAAGCTTCTTCGACACCAGAGAATTCACACGGGTGAGCATTCTCATTCCTGTTCAGAGTGCGGGAAAAGTTTTACCATGAAAGGAAAACACACACAAGAGAGAATCCTCACCGGTGAGCGTCCTGTTTCATGCTCAGCGTGCAGAAAAAGTTTTACTGAGAAAGGAAACCTTCATTTACACCAGAGAAATAACCCGGGGGAGCGTCCTTATGCATGTTCAGAGTGCGGAAAATCTTTCAATCAGAAAGGAAACCTTCTTAAACACCAGAGATGCCACACTGGAGAGCGTCCTTTTTCATGTTCAGAGTGTGGGAAAAGTTTCATTGAGAAAAACGCACTTGTTATACACCAGAGAATACACACAGGTGAGCGTCCTTATCCGTGTTCGGAGTGCGGGAAATGTTTTGTTCAGAAAGGAAACCTCCTTAAACATCAGAGATGTCACACGGGTGAGCGTCCCTATTCGTGTTCAGAATGCGGGAAAGGCTTCGTTGAGAAAAATGCACTTGTTATACACCAGAGAATACACACGGGTGAGCGTCCCTATTCATGTTCAGAGTGTGGGAAAGGTTTCATCAAGAAAACAGCATTTCTTATCCACCAAAGCAGACACTCAGGTGAGCGTGTCTATTCTTGTTCAGAATGTGGGAAATGTTTCTTTCATAAAGGAGACCTTCGTAAGCACCAGAGAAATCACACAAGTGAGCGATCCTATTCATGTTCAGAGTGTGGGAAATGCTTCAATCAGAAAGGAAACTTTATTAGACACCAGAGAATTCACACAGGTGAGCGTCCATATTCATGTTCAGAATGCGGAAAATGTTTCATTCAGAAAGGAGACCTTTATAGACATCAGAGATGTCACACAGGTGAGCATTCTTTTTCATGTTCAGAGTGTGGAAAATGTTTCACTGACAAAAATATACTACTTTTACACCAAAAAATTCACACAGGGGAACGCCCATTTTTATGTTCAGATTGCGGGAAATGTTTTAATCAGAAAGGAAATCTTCTTAGACACCAAAGAATTCACACAGGCGAGCGTCCTTATTCATGTTCCGAGTGTGGAAAATGTTTCATTCAGAAAAGAGACCTCTTTAGACACCAGAGATGTCACACAGGTGTGCATCCTTTTGCATGTTCAGAGTGTGGGAAAGGTTTCACTGACAAAAATGTACTACTTCTGCACCAGAAGACTCACACAGGTGAGCGGGACTATTCATGTTCAGTGTGCGGGAAATGTTTCATTCAGAAAAATTCACTTGTTAGACACCAGAGGATTCACACCGGTGAGCGCCTTTATTCATGTTCAGAGTGTGGCAAATGTTTCGTTCAGAACGGAGATCTTATTGACCACCAAAGGATTCACACAGGCGATCGCCCTTTTGCATGTTCAGAGTGTGGAAAAAGTTTCAGCTACAAAAAATCACTTATTTCACACCAGAAAATTCATTCTGTCCAGCCAATGTTTAATTAGAAAAACATTTGATGTATATGATTTATCTTCAGTTATAAAAGATTTAATTTAGATTCAAGCTTTGTTTTATTGTGCTAATTACTTATTGTTTGTAAAATAAATCAGAAACTTCAACACTTTACAATATTCTGTTCTGAACTCCTCTTTTACCAATGAGAGTCCTCCCTTGGTGATGGGAATGAGCTCAGTTCATAGAGAGTTCTCCCTTGGTGATGGGAATGAGCTCAGATCATAGAGAGTCCTCCATTGGTGATGGGAATGAGCTCGGTTCATAGAGAGTCCTCCATTGGTGATGGGAATGAGCTCGGTTCATAGAGAGTCCTCCATTGGTGATGGGAATGAGCTCGGTTCATAGAGAGTCCTCCATTGGTGATGGGAATGAGCTCGGTTCATAGAGAGTCCTCCATTGGTGATGGGAATGAGCTCGGTTCATAGAGAGTCCTCCATTGGTGATGGGAATGAGCTCGGTTCATAGAGAGTCCTCCATTGGTGATGGGAATGAGCTCGGTTCATAGAGAGTCCTCCATTGGTGATGGGAATGAGCTCGGTTCATAGAGAGTCCTCCATTGGTGATGGGAATGAGCTCGGTTCATAGAGAGTCCTCCATTGGTGATGGGAATGAGCTCGGTTCATAGAGAGTCCTCCATTGGTGATGGGAATGAGCTCGGTTCATAGAGAGTCCTCCATTGGTGATGGGAATGAGCTCGGTTCATAGAGAGTCCTCCATTGGTGATGGGAATGAGCTCGGTTCATAGAGAGTCCTCCATTGGTGATGGGAATGAGCTCGGTTCATAGAGAGTCCTCCATTGGTGATGGGAATGAGCTCGGTTCATAGAGAGTCCTCCATTGGTGATGGGAATGAGCTCGGTTCATAGAGAGTCCTCCATTGGTGATGGGAATGAGCTCGGTTCATAGAGAGTCCTCCATTGGTGATGGGAATGAGCTCGGTTCATAGAGAGTCCTCCATTGGTGATGGGAATGAGCTCGGTTCATAGAGAGTCCTCCATTGGTGATGGGAATGAGCTCGGTTCATAGAGAGTCCTCCATTGGTGATGGGAATGAGCTCGGTTCATAGAGAGTCCTCCATTGGTGATGGGAATGAGCTCGGTTCATAGAGAGTCCTCCATTGGTGATGGGAATGAGCTCGGTTCATAGAGAGTCCTCCATTGGTGATGGGAATGAGCTCGGTTCATAGAGAGTCCTCCATTGGTGATGGGAATGAGCTCGGTTCATAGAGAGTCCTCCATTGGTGATGGGAATGAGCTCGGTTCATAGAGAGTCCTCCATTGGTGATGGGAATGAGCTCGGTTCATAGAGAGTCCTCCATTGGTGATGGGAATGAGCTCGGTTCATAGAGAGTCCTCCATTGGTGATGGGAATGAGCTCGGTTCATAGAGAGTCCTCCATTGGTGATGGGAATGAGCTCGGTTCATAGAGAGTCCTCCATTGGTGATGGGAATGAGCTCGGTTCATAGAGAGTCCTCCATTGGTGATGGGAATGAGCTCGGTTCATAGAGAGTCCTCCATTGGTGATGGGAATGAGCTCAGTTCATAGAGAGTCCACAACAAAAGCCACATACAATATTCCCATTGTCACCACCTTGGCTATACTCCTCATGGTCACAGTTCATATAGGCCATTAGGCACTCGCACAACTCTTAGAATTTATGGATGCCGTGGCACACGCCACAAGGTGCAGACACAACGCATGCACATGAATGTGTCTGGCAGTCACCCTAAGCAGAGCCACATGCCACAATAGGCCCATGCACATGTGCCCACACTGGCCTTGTACTAGAACAAATTAGACCTTCCTACCTGCTCTCCTCCTACATCCTCCACATGCAGAACCTGCTCTCCTCCTACAACCTCCACATGCCGAACCTGCTCTCCTCCTACAACCTCCACATGCCGAACCTGCTCTCCTCCTACAACCTCCACATGCAGAACCTGCTCTCCCCCTACAACCTCCACATGCAGAAACCTTCTCTCCTCCTACAACCTCCACATGCAGAACCTTCTCTCCTCCTACGACCTCCACATGCAGAACCTGCTCTCCTCCTACGACCTCCACATTCAGAACCTGCTTTCCTCCTACAACCTCCACATATAGAACCTGCTCTCCTACTACAACCTCCACATGCAGAACCTGCTCTCCTCCTACGACCTCCACATGTAGAACCTTCTCTCCTCCTACGACCTCCACATGCAGAACCTGCTCTCCTCCTACGACCTCCACATTCAGAACCTGCTCTCCTCCTACGACCTCCACATTCAGAACCTGCTTTCCTCCTACAACCTCCACATATAGAACCTGCTCTCCTACTACAACCTCCACATGCAGAACCTGCTCTCCTCCTACAAACCTCCACATGCAGAACCTAGCCTTCTCTCCTCCTACGACCACCACATGTAGAACCTGCTCTCCCCCTACGACCTCCACATGCAGAACCTGCTCTCCCCCTACAGCCTCCACATGTAGAACCTGCTCTCCTCCTACATCCTCCACATGCAGAACCTGCTCTCCCCCTACAACCTCCACATGCAGAACCTGCTCTCCCCCTACAACCTCCACATGCAGAACCTGCTCTCCTCCTACAACCTCCACATGCCGAACCTGCTCTCCTCCTACAACCTCCCCATGCTGAACCTGCTCTCCCCCTACAACCTCCACATGCTGAACCTGCTCTCCCCCTACAACCTCCACATGCAGAACCTGCTCTCCTCCTACAACCTCCACATGCAGAACCTTCTCTCCTCCTACAACCTCCACATGCAGAACCTGCTCTCCTCCTGGACCCCCCAAAAAAGACCCTCACAATCTAAATTGGTAAACGGGGGTACCCGATTGTAGAGTTAACCCATTTGACTCTACAAAGGGACCTCCGGAGAGGATAGGAGGAGGAGGCGGGTTATGGCGTTGCCGACAAAGAGCAAAGTCTTTTCAGCCAATGTCCGGTGGATGCAAAGAACGCCCTCCACATGGTACTGATGTCACGGACCCCCTTAAAGACTTTGAACATGACTGCCTGCTTAACCCTGCCCATTCTGAATCCCCTATTCCACACAAGGTGGTCATCTCACTAAATGTGAGGTGACCCCACAGACAGGAAGTGATACCAGGAGGAGACGGGAAGTAATATCACAGACAGGAAGTGATGTCACATATAAATAGAAGGTTTGAGGTCAGAGGTGAGTTGGGAGGAAGTAGAGAGGAGACATTGCTGGAACTGGCAGCACAGGAGGTATGAAAATATTTTATATTTACACCCGGTAACCCCCCCCCTTCATGTCCGTCCTCCATATTCTTTTACCTCCAGCAAATGATACAAATACATAAGAACGCCTCTGTAGAACTTGTCATTTAAAAAAAAAATTATTTACAAGGTTACTAACATGTTCGACAGGTACAATGATACGAGGATAGTAGGAGGATGATGATTACGGCTTTGAGGGTCTCTGGGGTTTTTTTCTTCACTTGGAGATATTGATAAGTGAGAACATTATTATCCCATCCGAAGCGGTCTGAGGTGTCGGAACTATGGAGAGAGGAGCGTCCTGTAATGATCACATAACCACATCAACGAGGATAGACGAGGAGCCGAGTCACATGACTGAGAAGATATTGGACCTCACCCTGGAGATCATCTACCTGCTGACCGGAGAGGTGAGGAGGATTCTGAGAGGTCACATGACGTCACTCTGATCTCTATTCATTATTATTATTATACTGGATTTATAGAGCGCCAACAGTGTGCGCAGCGCTTTACAATATAAGGAAGACATGACAATCACAATACAATTCAAGGCAAGATGGCGAGGAGGGCCCCGCCCCTGAGGGCTTACAATCTAAAAGGGAGGGGCCAGTGATACATGAGGAGGGAGCTGTGTGGGGGATGAATTGTATGAGAATGTGATGGTTGAGCGGTTAGGTTGAGGTGGGATCGGCTTCCCTGAAGAGATGAGCCAAAGGGATCGCCTAAAGGCAGTCAGAGTGGGAGATAGACGGACAGGTTGGGGGTAAAGAACTCCAGAGGATGGGAGACACTCTAGAGAAGTCCTGGAGGTGGGCATTGGTGGAGTTGACAAGGGAGCTGGAGAGCAGGAGGTCTTGGGATGAGTGGAGCCCGACGGTTAGGGTGATACATAAAACACAGACCTGAACGGAGAGGTGAGGGGGATTCTGGGAGGTCAGTAGTAATATTGTTTCTATCTTTCTTTGCTCAGGATTATAAATTAGTGAAGAACGCATCTGGGGAGCCAATATCAACCAGATGTCTTCATGGGACATCACCCATCACAGAGCCTCCACCCCAATGCCTGACCACAGAGGTGACCAGAGCCAAGGAGATTCTAGAAGTCACCAGGAAGATCATTGATCTGCTGACGGGAGAGGTGAGTGGTGCCGGGAATTCTGGGACATGGTCCAGGAACAGACAAGGGGTGTGTCTGGGTGGTGACTGTATCATTGTGTGTGTCAGGTTCCTATAAGGTGTCAGGATGTCTCTGTCTATCTCTCCATGGAGGAGTGGGAGTATCTAGAAGGACACCGGGATCTCTACAAGGACGTGGTGATGGAGAATGCCCCGCCCCTCACATCACCGGGTAAGAGGAGAGAGCAGTACGGAGGCTCCGCCTACATCCCCCATCATCTGATACACACATAGAAACAATGTATTCAGTCAGTGTGTGTGTTTCCTACAGATGGATCCAGTAAGAGGAACCCACCAGAGAGATGTCCCCGTCCTCTGTGTTCCCGGGATCCCACCCAGGAAGATCTCACCATCCCCCACCATGATCAGGTAGGTGGAACTCGGTGTATATCATTTAAAAATGACTTATTTATCATTTTAGTTGGGGAGGAAGGGGTTAATTGGGGCTGATTTTGGGCTTCTTTTAGCTAAATGTCACGCTTTTGATCTACATGTGAGTGAAACATTATACTGTAGTTACTCGATTACACTTGTAGCCTCTCTGCA